TGATCATTGGAACAAGCAGGTCTACTTCAAATACATGGATGTGTTTGTAAGAGCTTATAGAGCACACAAAATGCACAAGTAAACTGCTTTGGATAAACAAGGCCCATCTCTATGACTCTTCATTTGAGCTGTGAGACCATTTTAGTCAGTGGTGTAGTGGGGATTTTTTTAAGTGGGTCTATGCAATTTGTGACTGAACCAGGAGGGCTAAACCAGGACTAAACCAGGATTAAACCAGGACTGAACAAGAACTGAACCAGGATTAAACCAGGTCTAAACCAGGTCTAAACCAGGTCTAAACCTCTAAACTCCCACTTGGACCACGGATATGAAGTCAGGTTCGAGCTTGAAGCATATTATTTTGTTTCGCGTGTCAGACTCAGAGAGTAGCGTGTAGCCTCACCACAACACTGACTACCAGACCCATAGGCAGTGATATGGATGCAGTAAGGTATTGCAGTAATACAAGGGACTGAAACTGTCATTTAAGCCATCAAAGCATCCAAACACAATGAAAACAGTTCATATTTATGCATCACAGTCAGGACTAAACAAGGACTAATCTTGGAAAGAGAGAGAGAGATAACCCAGAGCCAGTGTCCGCAAAGCACGATCTGGCGATGTGGGGCGTGGGGCTCTGTGCCGGTCCTTTCGCCTGTGGTCACCCGGCGGTCTACGTGGGTGCACCTCCGCGCCTGTCCCGACACTCATTCCTGTTTAGTTCTGGTTTAGACCTGATTTACACCTGTTTTAGTCCTGGTTCAGTTCTGGTTTAATCCTGGTTTAGTCCTGGTGCAGTTTTGGTTAAGACCTGGTCCCTCATATCTCAGGTCACTATGGGACAGTACTGGAGATATCATGAGCCTATGCAGTTGTTTTCACCATTGCCAGTAGCTCCGGTTTGGTAGTTATTTTACATGTGCCACGCCCACTAACCCCTGATTTTAGTGCTCTTACTTTTGAAGAAAATACCTAAAGATGTTTCAGGGTGCGATAAGAAAAAACACAGTGTCATCACGATGTCTTTTTTACAGTGACACGGTGATACAAAATGTGATCAAATGTGACTATTTGAGATGTCTGTTAAGGTCTGTGATAACATCTGTCAGGGCATGAGTGGCCTTGTGTGGGACTGAACACAGAGCTCCTTGACACCTCTCCAGCACAGACAGGTTTTATATTAACACTCAGACAGAGGTAAGAGCGCAGAGGACAGCCACAGCCTTCACTTCAGACTATAGACAGATCAATAACTACACAGAGGAATGCAGCGTTTCTCTGAGATTAGATGGTGGCAAACCTTGGTGTATGTGTTTAGTGTAGTATATATTTAAATTTATTGTATTATATTGTATTTAGGGGTGTAACGATATCCAAGTCTCACTATATGATTTCGTCACGTATGAACCTCACAGTACGATATTTATTGTGAAAGTTCATGATATGGTGGGGAGGCTCACAATTAGGGATGTACTAAAAAATAGTCTTACCCACACCATAAAGCACTCAAAGAAAATCTGTTATTACGCCAGACTGTCGATGTGAATGTCCGTGTCGATAGAATAATGTTTGAAATAAAACTAACCTTGCACCGCATGAATCGTCAAATGTTGAGGGACTATTTTCTCAGGAGGAGCGGTGAGATAGGACAGAGGTAGGGGTGTAACGATATTCTAGTCTCACGATATTTATTGCGATATCGTGGGAAAGTTCATGATATGGTGGGGAGGCTCACGATTAGGGATGTAACAATATCCAAATCCAAACCAAAACATTTTCACAATATACATCTCACAGTACGATATTTATTGAGATATTTTGTCTTGATTTTCCTCTTAAAGTGCTTTGACAAGACTGAATCCAAAGAACTAAGACTTAAAAGTGCTTAGAACTGTTATTTCTTCTTGTAGTTTACGCTGAAATGGAGCAAAGGATCATGGTCTATGTAGTTCCCTTTGTCTTTTTTTAGCTTTTGCTGCACCATAACTTTTAATTTAAGCAAAGAGGCTTGTGACAACTTTCACAATACAATATCATGATATTTCGGTTATTGTTACATCTGTAATTGTACTGTGGAGCAAATTGGCAAAAAAAGGGAAACTCTAGGTTAATAAAAAAGTGCAAATATGTAAATGTTGAGCTGTATGACAGACTTATCTACCTCCATGGAGACAAGCGGGCGAAGTGACAATACCAGACCAAGTTACGGGTAAGACACCAAGGACAGTAAGAATACAAGGCAAGGCAAGGCAAGGCAAGGCAAGTTTATTTGTATAGCACAATTCGTACACAAAGTAATTCAAAGTGCTTTACAGAATAAGAAATACATTTAAAATCATAATAAAAACAAATCAAAACATAAATAATCATGAAGATTAAAATTAAAAAAGAGAGACATAAATTGGAGAGAAGAGTGCAGAATGAAAACCTTTCAGTTATATGCACAGTAAACAGAAATGTTTTGAGTCTGGATTTAAACAGCGTCAAGAAGAGGCCTGTCTCACATGTTCAGGAAGACTGTTCCAGGTTTTAGAATACATGTCTCTAAGTGTATTTTTAACCATACAAAACAAATCAAAAGAAGACAAGAAAGGGTAAGTCTGACGGCACAACGTGGAGCATTCCAAAGCAAAGCAGCAACATCTCCATGGAGACAAGCACGTGTGTGTGTGCCTTCACCTTCACCTGGAAACAGATTATTATCTCCATTCCCTTCAGTGATGTATGGTCTGGGCTCTGAGCATAGTGCGGACAATGAACTTTAATAATTACAGGTTTAGAAGGGCAAACTGACCATCACGAACCAGAACTTTTATTTCCTGAGCATATTTTCCCTCTGCTCAGGTGATGTCAACACAGAAGTAAAAATAGTTACTCTTTAATTGTGTATGGATAAAAAAAGATCTCATCCACTGTCACTAGGGAAAGGCAGGTTTTGTGCCATTCTCCAGCTGGTCCTTAACAAAAAGAAGTCGACCTAAACATGGGTCAAATGAAGAACGAACGTCACAGGGACATACTGTGCAGTTTAATCAAATGTATAATTAAACTCAGCAGTTATCAGACAAACCAACAAGACCTGTGATATTATATAATCAGTGGCAGAAGAAACACTCAATTTTGTTACTTTTTTTGTTACTTGTAACTAAAAGTACAGATACCGGAGCAAAAAAAAACTCAAGTAAAAGTAAAAGTATCACATGAAAAAAATTACTTAAGAAAAAGTATTAGTTTAGTACGTGTTTAAAAACTGAAAGAGTATAAAGTTAAAGGATTTAGCACAGATTTTGAGATCTAATAAAGCTTCATATGTAGTGACTTTGATACAAGTTTGTGCTGAACAAAAAACAATTGAATCCATAGTCCTAGCTGTTTTTATTGGAATATTTTTTTAATAATAATAAAAATAATAATAGTAATACATTTTATTTATTATACGCCTTTCTGGTTACTCAAGGTTGCCTTTTGTTTGCTCAGAATACAAACATGTTACAAATAAAGCCCTCAGGCTTTGCAGCAGGTCTGACACAATAATAAAAATACTTTTACTTTTCAGTCCTGTTAAACAATGTAGTACAGTAGAAAGTACAGATATCTGCTCTCTAATGTAGTGAAGTAAAAGTAAAAAGTATCTACTTTAACATATACTTAAAAGGGATGTAACGATATCCAAATCTCACTGTAAGATATTATCACGATATGCATTTCACGGTACGATATTTATTGTAGTATTTTGGAGAGGCTGATATAATTGTAGATAGGACACTTTTTTGCTTTTAAAATACCTTGACAAGATTTTGGTGTGAATTATTACTGTCAGAATCTCAAGAATTCAAGTAAAAAACATATTTCTTCATGTTGCTTGTACTGAAATGAATCATGGGATATGTAGTTCCCGATGTTTATAAGCTGTTGCTACTGTAAAACCATGCATTTAAGCAAAGGAACTTGTGATTTGATATATTGTGACAGCCTATGATATTATTGTGAGACTTTTGATGATACGATATCAAGATATTTTGGCTATTGTTACATCGCTAGTACTTAAGTAATGTAACAATACCTAAGATGTGTACTAGTAGAGTACTTTAATACTTTTACTTCATCACATTCCACAAGTGATTATAATGCAAGTGACATCAATAGCATCTGTTGACAAGTGTGCAGAACGAAGACCCAAAGCCTGTGGAGTGGATGTGGAGAGCTCTCAACCCTCAGCCAACAGCTCCAATACATTTCCCATAGGCTCTCATGCCCCCATTGAAACACCGGTTCGTTATTATGTATGAAATAATGGCTAATTTTGCATCAGGATTTGACAATGCAATACTTTCCACTGTTTTTCACTCTGAAGGTAGTCCATTTGGCACGAAGTGGGCGGTTTACATTAGAACATTTGAGGCTAATCACTATATTCAATGGTGTTTAAATTAGCGTGACCACGAGCAAGCCTTTGTATAATGATAATGTCATGATCTCATGGTGAGTGAATGCAGTGAAGCTCAAAACAGGCACTATTTGGCCTCAGGAGGACAAACTAGATCCAATAGCTTGTGAATTTTGTTATGCGTTACAAAAAGTATTGTATGGATATTTTTAACTTTTAGCATAAAATCTGTAGCATAAATTTTTGGCAAGGTTTGTTTTGATGTGGACAAACCAAATGCATCATTGATCAGCTGTTAAGCCTATCTAAGCTCTTGGCTGGAGAGGCAAGCAGCACCGCACGTGTACTGGAGTTGTTGCTGATTGATGAAATGAGTTCCTGATTCGTAGTTCCTGCCCAGTTATTTGCCCTGCATGTTGTCTTATTTATCATGCTTTCCTTTCTTGGAATACTGTCATTGTTTAATAGGGTTAGGCATTATAAGTACTTTTTACTTCAGCCTAAAACCTTTCGGTCATGATCTATGGCACAGTTTCCCCCAACTTGGGGGTCACCTTGTCACAGTCTACATGTAGGTTTGCAATACACAGTTCTCCGCGGGTGGTGGGCCCACATGAGGACGGCCCCACATCGCTCCTTCAGGCTGAGCCCGGCTGGGCCCAATGGGGGAAGGCCCAGCCACCAGGCGCTTGCTGGCGAGCACCCATCCCAGGCCTGGCTCCAGGGTGAGGCCCCGGTGACCCCAATCCGGGCGACGTAACTGGCCTTGCTGGTATACTCATCATAAGGGGCTTCTGAACCCTTCTTCATCTGACCCGTCCCCTCAGACCTGTTTTACTTTGGGTGACCCTACCAGGGACATGAAGCCCCCGACAACATAGCTCCCGGGATCATTCGGGCACTCAAACCCCTCCACGACGATAAGGTGACGGTTCAAGGAGGGGGCGCCTGATCTAATGTTTTTAATAGTTTCAAACTGGGGTAATACTAAATGTTCAGAGAAACATGATCACTCAGTCAACAGTAAAATGTTCAATAATGGTCAAATCCACATTTATTTTGTGATTTACAAATAATGTCTATTGACTTGGGTCGTGAAGGTTTGTGACTTTTAAAATATGGGTCCCCAGAAAAAAAGTTTGAGAACCACTATCTATGGGGTTGTAGTCTATGTTTCGTTTTGTTTTGTAGTGCTGCTTAATGACCGAATAAACTACTACTACCACTGTGGAGAATGTGGCCATGAAAAAATCTATATCAGTTGATTGTTTACTATAAACTTGTAAGAGAGCTGTGAAGTCACTTTTGGTGCAGTTACCTCTTTGCACTAAAGTGTTCAAGTAAAGCTCTATGTGTATTCTTTATTCTTTAGGCAGCAGTTCCACCAAAACTGCATATTGGCCTTTGATATCAATCTATCTCTAATTCTTACATTCTCGATTTGTAATGTATATTTTATGAAGAGTGCTTTCAAATGGTATTGAGCACTTTTCTAAATCTTATTGCCATTTACTCATTATAAAGTACACTATGTCGAGTAAAATAACTGGCATTCCACAGAAACCCTTGTATAACCATTTTTCAGGTGTCAAGCAGGTGTTTCCTCTTGAGCCTTGAGATGCTTTGTCATCCTCTACAGCCTGTACATTATTGTGTTCACTAAGGAAAGGGCATAAATCTCCTGTCAACTCCTACACACATGTTCTGTTTAAGTAGAGAAGAATAGCAAGCAGCAGGCTGTCAGTCAAAATCATAATATATTTTGGTGCATTTTCAATACTTACAATATTGTTTCAGCTCTAGTTGCCCGTGTAAATTAATGTTTGGTTACAATGACCACGCAGACTTCAAACTTTAAGTCACAAAATCATAATATTATTGTTTCTTTTGAGACAACCTATTCAAATTTGTGGTGTCCCTCAAGGCTCAGTTCTTGTGCTCATGTTCTTCTCTCAAATTCTTTCTGATTAAAAATGATTCTAAATTGATTTCACATATAAACACAAACCTATTTTTTAACATAATAAGATAAAGCTGTTTTCCATATTTCCAAAGCTATTGTTCCATCTTAGTGCATCCTATGAACTTAAAAAATACTTGGAAGCAAATCAATGTCAATCTGAAATGAAGTCATATTCGTATATGTATTTCTGTATAAAGCTTTTTTTACATATCAGATTTTTTTTACTATAAGTCGCACTTTTTCATGGTTTGGGTGGTCCTGCGACTTATACTCCGGTGTGACTTTAACACTGACAGCTGCGAGATGGTGCTGTAGGCTTGTGTGTCAGTATCTGCTGCTTCTTTTATTTATGTACCACTGTCACTTCGCACAATTGCGCATGTCTCCTGCAGAAAAAACATTGTCCTGCTACAGGTAGTGAAATTTGCAGCCAAAAACGGTATGTGAGCAGCAGAAAGAAAGTTTGGGATGGAGAACACAGTTTCACAGCAACCAGGTGGGTGCACCATCCAACTTTCCTGGAAGTCATTGGATGGATTGACAAACTCTGGACTACAGTGACAGCTGAAACCATCCTGTTGGGATTCAGAAAAGCCTGGAACTGATGCTGAGTCTGACAGCAGCTACGCAGAAGAGGAAATGGAGCTCCTTTTACTTTCAGAGGTCGCGGAGTTGCCATGGATCTATAATAATTTATTATAGTTCTATGGGAGTTGCTCAGAAGTGACACTGAGGATGAAGAATTCAATGGATTTTGTGATTTTAGTGATTTGGAGTGAGATGGAGAGTTTGGTAAACTTTTTATGTTCTGTTGTTTATGCTATAATTATCTGAAGAACTGTTCATATGTAACATTAACAGCCTGTTGTTCTCTGTTCTATTGTTATTACTGTAACTTGCTTTTCGAGATAAAAATGTCAGTTTCTGGTCTCTGATTTTATGAAAATAAATTTCCCCCAAAAAGTGCGACTTACAGACTGGTGCGACTTATATATGTTTTTTTCTTCTTCATTATGCATTTTTTTGGCTGGTGCAACTTCTCTAATCCTGAGCAACATATAGTCAATATGGTACTATCGAAACTAAAACTGATCCAAATTTTACATTGTGCAGGACCCTGGTAAGACTTACTTTAAGACAACATGGAACCGTAACCATTCAGTAGTTAATTCACTTTGACAAGAAAAATATACATATCTTTATTAACACTCACAGTCACTTGGTCAAACAGTGGCGTATTTTGGGAAAGCGCTCAGGTGCGGATAACATTACAGACTCATTTCGTCTCCATACACTGAGCTCCTCCAGAGAGTTTCCCAATCAAAGACCGCAAGTGCACTGAGCTAATAACATTAGCGCTGGGTGTCCGCAGAGGAGTTTCCTGCTCTGACGGCGACAGGTCCTGGGCAGTGGAGAGGGTCACATAGTGCGTAGGATAATTGAGTTAGCATGCGGCGAGTGTGAGGGGGCTGCACTTCCCACACCACTCAGCATGTTTGTTCAGGAGCCTGTGGAGATGTTTGCCCTGCTCCCGAATATGACACCTCCTGATATGACGGCAACGTGCACAGGAACATTCCACAAGCACACTCTCTGGATTATGACCAGCTCACACACTATGATCCCTATAGAGGAGTTAACGTGGACTTGGACTTAGACAAACTTTATTAATCCATGAGGGAAATTATTTGGACACAGTAGTTAATGCATCACAATGTATTATAATAACAAAGGCAAAAATATGAATGGTATAATAAGATAATAAGATAAGGCAGCAGAAATAACAAGAGACTGGGGTCAAATAAGGCATCATTATATAAATGTAAATGTACAAGTAACAATAAAATATAGAAATATAGTAATAAAAATCTATCTCAACTAAGCTACTGTGACCTGCTTCCACTTTCTCGGGCGCTCAGATCAGAAAAAGTATCAGAAAATATCTGAAAAGAGGGAGCACTTTATAGTGGTTTAGAAATGTGAAAAACAACCTATACAGTGCCACTTTAGATACTATACCTCGCATTGCATTGTTCACTTACTCATACTGCTCTTTGTTCTACCTCTATAGAGAGCTAGAGAGAGAACATAAAAAAGACTGTTACTATGGTTTTTACATGTTTGAAACAGCAGTGCAAAATGCCCAAATGCATCAGTAAACAATGTTAAAAAACAGAACACAAACAAACAACCTGAGTCATCTTAAAAACTTCAGTGGTTTGATGTTTCTGTGATATGGGACCACCAGAGGCAAAAAATACTCCAATAAAAAAATCAAGTGAAAAAATAAGTATTAAAGTACCAGTTTAAAGATTTTTATGCAGAGTTTAAGATCTAAAAAACTTCAGGTGTAGTCATAAATTTATCCTGAATTTTGTTCAATAAAAACTACTTATTTATTTTTTTATATGTTCCAAAGAGGTTAATTTCCAATGTTATATCGATATAAAGGTTCTTTTTGACAGACCAGACCTTGAAAGGTTTTAGAGGACAAGAAACACAAACATTGCATTAAGGAGGCTATTGTCATCTGGAAACGAGCCCATAGGACAATAACAGGGACGAGGGGCCTATCAACTTTCAAGGACCTGTGATGCTGTCCTGGAGAAGCGGAACTGCAGATGGCAGCTGCATTTAGATGTTTTTATTTGTATATTTTTGTTTGCTCAAACTATGACCTTGCTAAAAAAACATATATATACCCTGAGTTGTTTTCAGCAGGTGTCACACAATAATAAAAATACTTTTACTTTTCAGTCACATTCGCATCAGCAACAAGGACAGAACCCTCACTGTCTGTGAAGTGACCTTGTATATTTTAGTTCCAAATGAAGTGTAAATGAAATTTCATTATTTGTGCAACAATGGAAGGAGTCTTTCCGTATACTGAAATAATTCCGTCTTTTCCACTTGTTGGAAAACCAACATAGTGACTGTATAGGACAAATTGGCACAAATATACAGAAAAACTCAAATGAGGCCAAAAATATGGATCATATCTGAACCAAACAGAGAGTTATTGTTTCAGCAGGTCATGGCACTGCTCCACTGTAAGGAATAACAAAAGCTCTGGGTGGAAAAATCTGCATGTGTCTGCACCTCCAAGCTGCTTGACGCCCACAGAGAACGGGCTTAGACTTTAACTGGCCTTTAACTGGGGTTCAGGTGTTCTCATTATAGTTCGGTTTCATAACCACACTGTTCCCTCTGAGGTCTGGAGAGGTCTAGAGTGGTCTGGAGGGGACATGGTCAGCAGACTCTGGCCCAGGTTCAGTTCTTGGAAAGTGGGGACAAGCACAGTTTTAATTACATGTTTTGTTGTTGTGTTGCTCAGGTGTACTGTTCCTCTAACAGCCCTGCACTTATGGATGTGTTTTTAACAGTGTGCGGCGATGGAACAGTGCACTTGAATAGTGTTATTGACTGGCACATATAGAATCCTTGAATTATTTTTATGGAACTTTTTCTCTTTCACTGAGCACTCAAAACAGATATTTCAGATATTTGCAACTACGCCCACCTCATCAACATTCTGGATGCGTATTCCCGGTACATGTAGTCAGATATTTCCCAACACTGTCAGCATGTGGTGTGGAGTGATATCAGAATTTGACACGTAAATAAAAAATGAATCCTTTTTTTTTTTTGCTTTCTCATATGTCTCAGTATCCTACCCACACTTCAGAATTGTATCTCTGCGTAACTGTGATAAGGAGTTTTTATACTGTACACACATTTGACTGGATGAGTTTTTCAGCATTT